ATTCGGTGCCCTTTCATCCCAGAGCTCCATTGTGTCCTTTCACCGGAGAATAATTACAGCTCTCGCTCCCGCTGCCTCGTGTCTTCCCTGTAATGTGGCGCGACTCTGCGCCGTGCTGAGGACCGGCCATAATCTGAAGAAGAGACAGCTGTGCCATTTACCAGTAAAGCCTCAGCTGTGTGCACATATCCTTTGTTGTGACAGCTCGGCCTGTCTACATCAGGAAATGCTCTAAGAGGACCTAGCGTCAAATAGATTCTTCATGGTAATCAAAAAAAAAATCTGGGACTACATTCCCTTCTCCCTCACGTATATGTAGGGAAGCTCAATAAAGACCTGTTGATCCTGCCAGACCCCTTGTATAGGAAGCCTTTGCCCCTGACCATGCTAAGCATGGAAGCAGATCCATGCCATCATGGTCATTTTGCTTATGATGTCACAGGCCGGCACCTGTCCAACCTGCCCTTTTTGATTGACAGAAAAGAGTAGTCTCCTCCTTCGCAGAACGGAGCTAAGGTTCAGTTAATGAAACCATGTCCCCCTTACTTGCATCACGTACCTGGTGGTGGAGGCCAATGGGGAGAGGGCTTCCCTTGCGGCTAAGTTCCGGACTTCCCTGAGAGTGGGACAGCGGGAGTCAGGCCCAAAGTTGCACAGGTCACCTGTAGGAGTGCTGGTTGGTGGTCCACTCAGAAGCACAGCTGGTGCACAGAGATAGGTCTGCAGACAGGAGGCGCCTGTGCCTGGTATGCAAGCCCTTCCGGGATTTAGATGTTTGCTGGGTAGTCGGTTCAAGCCAAGGTCAGGTACCAAGTGGGAATCAGAGCAGACGTAGTCAGATGGGATAGCCGAGGTCATACACAGAGGAGCGAGAGAGAGAGTATCCGTAAGCCAAGCCGAGGTCACATCAGGGGTAAGCAGAGTAGACAGGTCCAGGAGCAAGCCGAGTCGGTAACAGAAAATCACAGGTCAGAATCACAGGAACAGGGCAAGGGGAGCTAGAGATCATCCAGCAACTGGAGGAAGTGATGAGCCTCTTTATAAAGGCCGTCTAGCACCAAACTGAGGCTGATGTGTACTTCTGCGGCAATGCAGAGTACTGGCAGAAATGCCAGATCTTCCAGAACGTCTGCCGTGGACAGGACCCTGACAACTTGGGAAGAAGGATGGGAAGAGCAGATGTGTAGTCGCGTGACCACCGAATAACATTAGTAGTTGAAGGCTCAGTAAAGACCCTTTGATCCTGACAATCCCCTTGTCTAGGATACCCTTCCTGTTTGTTCCTGACTAAGCTAAGCATGGAAGCAAATCCATGCTAGCATTTTCATTTTGCATGTGATGTCACAAGCTGGCGTGCCCCTGTTCGACCCTGCTCCATTTGATCAACAGGAGCTCTTCGCAGGCAACACATTCAAAAGAGTAGTCTCCACCCCCAAAGAACAAAGCTAAGGGTCAGTCAGTGCAACTGTGTCCTCTGCACTTGGGACTTGGGCGTCTGTAGGGTTGCGTGACTGCTGACTAAAACTAGTACTGGAAGGCTCAGTAAACAACTGTTGATGCTGCCAGTCCTCTTGTGTAGGAAGCCTTTGCCCCTGACCATGCTAACCATGGAAGCAGATCCATGCTATCCTGGTCATTTTGCTTATGATGTCAAAGGCTGGCACCTGTCCAACCTGCCCTTTTTGATTGACGGCAGCTCCTCACAGGAGGAGCTGAAAAGAGTAGTCTCCTCCTCTGCAGAACGAAGCTAAGGTCCAGTCAGTGCAACTGTGTCCCCTTCACTTGGGAATAGGGTTGCGTGACTGCTGAATAAAACTAGTACTGTAAGGCTCAGTACACAACTGTTGATGCTGCCAGTCCTCTTGTCTAGGAAGCCCTTCCTGTTTGTTCCTGACTACGCTAAGCATGGAAGCAGAGCCATGCTAGCATTTTCATTTTGCATGTGATGCTCCTGTCCAACCCTGCTTGATAGAGAGCAGCTCCTCACAAGCGGCAAACTCAAAAGAGTAGTGTCCACCCCCTACAGAACGGAGCTCAGAGTCAGCTAATGCAACTATGTCCTCCTTACTTGGAAAGAAGGATGGGAAGAGCAGGCATGTGGTCGTTTGACCACTGAATAAAATTAGCAGTGGAGGCTCAGAAAAGACCTGTTGATCCTGCCAGCCCCTTGTATAGGATACCCTTCCTGACCATACTAAGCACTAAAACAGATCTGTGGTAGCACGGTCATTTTGCATGTGATGTCACAAGCTGGTATGCCCCTGTCCAACCCTGCTCCATTTCATCATCAGCAGCTCCTCGCAGGCGGCACATTCAAAAGAGTAGTCTCCACCCCCAAAGAACAAAGCTAAGGGTCTGTCAGTGCAACTGTGTCCTCTGCACTTGGGACTTAGGTGGCTGTAGGGTTGCGTGACTGCTGCACTTGGGAAGAAAGATGGAAAGAGTAGCTGTGGGGTTGTGTGACTGCTAACTAAAACTAGTAGTGGAAGGCTCAGTAAAGACCTGTTGATTCTGCCAGTCCTGTTGTCTAGGAAGCCCTTCCTGTTTGTTCCTGACCATACTAAGCACTCAAGCAGATCATGAAGCATGGTCATTTTGCATGTGACGTCACAAGCTGGTATGCCCCTGTCCAACCCTGCTCCATTTGATCAACAGCATCTCCTCACAGGCGGCACATTTAAAAGAGAAGTCTCCACCCCCACGGACCAAAACTAAGGGTCTGTCAGTGCAACTATGTCCCCTGCACTTGGGAAGATGGGAAGAGTAGCTGTGGGGTTGTGTGACTGCTGACTAAAACTAGTAGTGGAAGGCTCAGTAAAGACCTGTTGATGCTGTCAGTCCTGTTGTCTAGGAAGCTCTTCCTGTTTGTTCCTGACCATACTAAGCATTGAAGAATATCATAAAGCATGGTCATTTTGCATGTGACGTCACAAGCTGGTATGCCCCTGTCCAACCCTGCTCAATTTGATCAACAGCATCTCCTCACAGGCGGCACATTTAAAAGAGTAGTCTCCACCCCCACGGACCAAAACTAAGGGTCTGTCAGTGCAACTGTGTCCTCTGCACTTGGGAAGAAAGATGGGAAGAGTAGCTGTGGGGTTGTGTGACTGCTGACTAAAACTAGTAGTGGAAGGATCAGTAAAGACCTGTTGATGTTGCCAGTCCTCTTGTCTAGGAAGCCCTTCCTGCTTGTTCCTGACCATACTAAGCACTCAAGCAGATCATGAAGCATGGTCATTTTGTATGTGACGTCACAAGCCGGTATGCCCCTGTCCAACCCTGCTCCATTTCATCATCAGCAGCTCCTCACAGGCAGGCACATTTAAAAGAGAAGTCTCCACCCCCACGGAACAAAACTAAGGGTCAGTCAGTGCAACTGTGTCCTCTGCACTTGGGACTTAGGTGGCTGTAGGGTTGTGTGACTGCTGCACTTGGGAAGAAAGATGGGAAGAGTAGCTGTGGGGTTGTGTGACTACTGACTAAAACTAGTAGTGGAAGGCTCAGTAAAGACCTGTTGATGCTGCCAGTCCTGTTGTCTAGGAAGCCCTTCCTGTTTGTTCCTGACCATACTAAGCACTGAAGCAGATCGTGAAGCTTGGTCATTTTGCATGTGACGTCACAAGCTGGGATGCCCCTGTCCAACCCTGCTCCATTTGATCAACAGTTGCTCCTCACAGGCGGCACATTTAAAAGAGTAGTCTCCACCCCCACGGGCCAAACTAAGGGTCTGTCAGTGCAACTATGTCCCCTGCACTTGGGAAGAAAGATGGGAAGAGCAGCTGTGGGGTTGTGTGACTGCTGACTAAAACTAGTAGTGGAAGGCTCAGTAAAGACCTGTTGATGTTGCCAGTCCCCTTGTCTAGGAAGCCCTTCCTGTTTGTTCCTGACCACGCTAAGCATGGAAGCAGATCTGTGCTAGGACAGTTATTTTGCTTTGATATCACAAGTTGGCAAGCCCCTGTCCCAACCCTGCCCTGTCTGATTAACAGCTGCTCCTCACAGGTGGCACACTCAAAAGAGTAGTCACCCCACCACACAGAACGGAGATAAGGGCCAGTTAATGCAAGCATGTCCCCTTTACTTGGGAAGAAAGATGGAAAGTGCAGCTGCGTGGTACCGTTACCACTGAATGAAATCAGTAGTGGAAGGTTCAGTAAAGACCTGCAGCTCCTCACAGGTAGCACACTCAAAAAGAGTAGACACCCCACCACACAGAACGGAGCTAAGGGTCAGTTATTGTAGCCATGTCCCCTTTACTTGGGAAGAAAGATGGAAAGTGCAGCTGCGTGGGTCACGTTACCGCTGAATAAAATCAGTAGTGGAAGGCTCAGTAAAGACCTGCAGCTCCTCACAGGTGGCACACTCAAAAGAGTGTTCTCCGCCCCCGCAGAATAAAGGTAAGGGTCTGTCAATGCAAACACTGTCCTATGCAGGACAGAGAGAGCGTTCTAAGCTGTGTGTGAGTTCTGACTGCAGTGACTTGGACCTTAAAGTGTATCCAAAGTCAAATTTTTTAAATTTTTTTTTAGTTGTGAATAAAGTGATGAGGGTTTATAACACGTTAGAATTTTCTTTATTGTTGTCTGTGTCTCCAGTAGAGAGATTCACCCTCTCTATTTGTCCTGAATACCACTGTCACCATTATCACCAGTTTTAAACTGATTTAAAATGCAAAACCTTACCACAAAGCTAGAGTTACCACAAAGCTGGAGATAAAGACAGTAAAGTGAACCTGTCACAGGCTAACTTTAATGCAGATCCAACTCTCAGCCAAGAATTCTACCAACCCTGATTGGTTCAGAAAACACATGTGTTCCTGACCTCACCTCTGCTGTAACCTGAAAGGATCTCACCCTGGACAGCTAATAGGAAGTGCCCACATCACCCTGGCAGTGATGTAGACTTATAAAAAAATAATGGCTGGGGTTTAACTTTAAAATACTGTTAAGAAAAAGGCTCAACTCTTTGAAAGCTAACAAGATCTGTTGTTCCTTCTGCAGGCTGATAGTGTTTGGATGGACATGGATGATGAAGAGGACCTGCCCACCGTGGACGAGCTGGAAGACTGGATTGAAGATGTTCTGGAGGGTGATGTCAACACTGAAGATGACGATGACGACGATGATGATGATGATGACGATGATGATGACGACGATGACGATGATGACGATGACGACGATGATGATGACGATGATGACGATGATGATGATGATGATGACGATGACGATGATGATGATGACGATGACTAAACAGTCATCAATAAAGTCGTTAGCATCTAACTAGTTTATATATTCAAATGTCAAAGCCTGACTTTAGTAACAACATATTTTTATATGAATTCTTGATTCTTAATTTAAATTTTTAAACCTATCCGATTAGCTCAACACTGATCTTCAACACTATAAAAAAACCCACTGAAAATTTTACACCCTGGGGCTATAGCCAAAGGACATCCAGTAAGATTCCTTTCACCAAAAGCCCTGGAGGACTGGAGAAGCTCTTTCTGGTCTCCATAAAACTTTTTTTTAATCTCCATAAAGTCTTACAATAATCAGACTAGACTTTCATCCAAACATTGCTTGGTTCAATCAAGCCTAAAAGAATTGTTTTTCCAAAGAGTTGTTTTTCAAGACCACAAAAAACTTTTTCTGGTCATCCATTAAGAATAGCTTAGATAATCTAAGAGTTCCTACTAACCTGCAACTCTTGTCCAAACGCTCACCGAGTGCAGGTTGAGGACTTGATTTCCACAAGTCCATAATTTGAAAGCCAACCAAATCTACCATTATATCGCCAACACAAGACACGAAATTAACAACACAAGAATTCCATTGTATTCTAGTCTTGGCTTTTGTTGGCATTGTATAACAGGTGAGAGAAAGGTTGCCTATCACAGTAGCATGTCAACTCTTTTTTTTGGCCAAGTACCATACCTAAAAAAGAAGATCTTTTACATGTTCAAGAAGTGATGTCTCCTCATCGATCTCACGTCCTATCATCTCCTAAGTGGGCAAAAATTTGGACTTCATGCCCTTTCACATAATTTTATTCTTGGACACTTTGATGTTTGTGCAACTTTTTATGTCACATTAAACAATATTGTCGCCTACTTGTCAAAGAACCCCAGGCACAACCTCAAGCATCACTCGCAAGGTCTTAAATGTTTATCTACTGTGATCTTCTGCCCACAATTTGCAACTGATAAGAAAACCAAAAATCAGTAACATCCAGACTGTGTACGTGTGTTTTTTTTTTTTACTGTTTTTGAAATTTTGCTTTCTAGATCATAGCGGTGATCTCCAAACTGCAGCCCCTAGCTTGCCTTCATCTGGCCCTTGGGGCACTATTCCTCCCATTGATACCTAGAGTAGGAGATAATTCCTCACACTGACACCAACAATGAGGCATTATTCTGCTCATTGACACCAGCAGGGGGGCACTCTTTCTCCCATTGACACCAATGATGGGGCACTGTTCCTCCCACTTATACCAATAATGGGATAATATTCTTTCCAATGCCGCCAATCAGGGGCGGACTGACCATTTGGAAACTCGGGCACTGCCCGAGGGCCCGGGGTCAGTAGGGGGCCCCATGAGATGCCCCTGGTACCTTTTTCATAGGCTTTTTTGAGTTTGGGCAAGGACACGGGGCCCCATGATCCCTAATTGCCCAGGGGCCCCATGAGTTGTCAGTTCGCCCCTGCCGCCAATGGTGGGGTACTATTTCATCCACTAATACCAATGATGGGGCACTATTCCTTCCACTAATACCAATGATAGGGCACAATTCCTCACACTGACACCATTGGTGGGGTGCTATTTCTTCCACTATTATCAATGATGGAGCACTATCCCTCCTGTTGACACCAACGATTGGATGCTGTTCCTTTTATTAATGCCAACAATGGGGCACTATTCCTTCCACTAATACCAACAATAGGGCATTATTCCTTCCACTAGTACCAATGATAGGGCGCAATTCCTCCCACTGACACCATTGGTGGGGTGCTATACCTTCCACTATTATCAATGATGGAACACTATCCCTCCTGTTGACACCAATAGTTGACACCAAATGGTTGGGTGCTGTTCCTTTAATGAATGCCAATGATGGGGCACTATTCTACCTGCTGACACCAATGATGGGGTGCTATTCCTCTAACTGATACCAATAATGGGGCACTATTCCTTTTGCTGACACCAATAGTGAGGAACTATTCCTCCCATTGACAGCAATGGTGGGACATTATCCCTTCCACTAATACCAATGATGGGGCACTCTTCCTTCCATTAATGCCAATGATGGGGTACTATTCCTTGCACCGACACTAATGGTGTGGAATGATCTCTTCCACTAATACCAGTGATGGGGCACTATTTCACCCACTGTCACCATTGGTGAGGAACTACTCCTCCCATTGACACCAGTGGTGGGGCACTATCCTTTCCACTACTACCAATAATGGTGCACTATTCCCTCCACTGACACCAATGATGGGGAACTATTCCTCCCTCTGACTCCAATGTTGGGGCACTATTCCTCCCACTGACACCAATGATGGGGCACTATACTGACACCAATGATTCACTATTCCCCCACTGATACCAATGATGGGGCACTATTCCTCCCACTGATACCAATAATGAGGCACTATTCCTCCCACTAATACCAATGACCAATGATGGGGCACTATTCCTCCCACTGATACCAATGATGGGGCACTATTCCTCCCACTAATACCAATGATGGGGAACTATTCCTCCCCTGCCACTGACACCAATGATGGGGAACTATTCCAATCCCACTGATATACCAATGATGGGGCACTATTCCTCCCACTAATACCAATGGTGGGGCACTATTCCTGCCACTGACACCAATGATGGGGAACTATTTCTCCCACTGATACCAATGAAGGGGCACTATTTATCCCACTGATACCAATGATGGGGCACTATTCCTCCCATGGACACTAATGGTGGGGGCACTAATTATCCTACTAATACCACTGATGGGGCACTATTCCTTCCACTGATACCAATGATGGGACACTATTCCTCCCACTTACACAAAGGATGGGACACTATTCCTCCCACTGACACCAATGATGGGGCGCTCTTCCTCCCACTGACACCAATGATGGGGCACTCTTCCTCCCAATGATGGGGCATGATGGGACACCAATGGTGAGGCAATATCACCAATGGTGAATATCATTTTTGTTACTCCTACTGACCATAAATCCTGAGGCATTGTGTACTCCCACCAGAGGAAAGGTTTGGAGATCCCTGGTTTATAGTAACAAAACAAACGTCAAAGCTCAATAAATGGTTCTTCAGATTGACCTCTGATGGTACTAAATTTAAAAATGGGATCAGTACTCAAGAAGTAATATAAAGCCATGACGGCCCATGAATGAATAAATAAGAAGCAATCAAAGGGTGAAAACAATGACCTTTCCTAGAGAAAATGCTGCTCCAAGCTAACATCAGTGCTGGCCCAAAGAATTCAGGCATCAGCTCTTGGTCTTTGTGATTTCAGCCCTCGAAACAGAAGAGCCGTTCCAAACACTGGTCAAAGTTCTTCCCCCCAAATGCTGAGGCTTTGGACATGGGGTCAGTACTGGAGGGAGCCTAGAACAGTGTTTTCTCCAGCAAAGCTGTTTCAACTCTTCACTTATTCTTTATCCATCCATCGCAGCAAGAGCTTCGTGTTTACATTTGAGAGTAGGTCCACCTGAATTAGATGTCCTCTAAGACGCGCCTTCCTTTCTCTGGTACAAAACTCCGCATATAGTCTCATCTCTCAGATTGCATTCGGATCTTGGAGCTAGGGGCATACATGACAAGTGCGAGTATGTAGGCTCAGCAAGAGGAAGGAAGATATTAGATTCATTGATTAGCTCGCCAGCACAGATGGTAGCGAGTAACATAATTATCAGATGGAATTTGCTGTATTTAAGAATACCGGAGGCAAGCAAAACATGATTGTCAGTAGAATCTGAAGAAGAGCTTAAATGAGCACTATTTTACATCTGCACGGGTGAGCTAAAATAGCACGTAATTTACATGATGTCACGAAAAAAAAAAAAAAAAAAAATCCCTTTTTGGAAAAATGATAAGGTTCCCTTGCCTATAACGGTTATACACATGTGAAAGAATTACAAAAACTGATTTAAGCGTGATCACTCCTTTCCAGGAGGTCATTGCTGCTAGTTTTGGGCGCTGGTACAGATGGATCACCTCCAATGATCCTAGGGTGACAACTAAATATTGTAGTTTAGAAGGTCAGTGGGACAGAGTTTGGTAAACCTTCTGTGTTGCCAATGGCAACAGCCAACTAACAGATACACTGTATTTCCAATAGTAGTCCAAACTTTACTAGGGTTTCCTTGATTTGTGGTTCTTTGACCTTCCACCTGATGGTGCCTACATAGGCTATATTGCCAAAAGTATCGTGCTCGCCCTCCAAATTATTATTATTATACAGTATTTATATAGAGCCAAAAGGTTTGCTCAGCGCTGTACATTATAGTGGGGGACAGAACATGAGACAATACAATACACGAGGGGTTCAAGGGCCCTGCTCTTTCGAGCTTACAATCTAGGAGGGGGGGGGGGATAGTGGTACAGGAGGAAGTAGCTGTGGGGGATGGAGTGGTAGGAGGAGTGGAGGAGACCGGCTGCTAGGTGAGGGTGGGGTAGGGTCCCTGAAGAGATGGGTTTTCAGGGTGCGCCTGAAGGTAAGGAGGGTAGGTGACAGTCTGATGGATTGGGGTAGAGAGTTCCAGAGGATGGGGAAGTCCTGGAGAAATCCTACAGTCGGGCGTGGGAGGAAGAGACCAGGGAGCTAGAAAGTAGGAGGGCTTGTGAGGAGCGAAGAGTACGTGTTGGGTGCTATTTGGGTATCAGGTCGGTGAGGTAGTTTGGGGCAGCGTTATGAATGGCTTTATATGTCAGTGTTAGTAGTTTGAATTTAATGCGTTGGGCAATCGGAAGCCAGTGGAGGGAATGACAGAGGGGGGTGGAGGACACTGAGTGGAGGCCAGTGGAGAGAATGACAGAGGGGAGTGGCAGAAGTGGAGCGGTTGGTAAGGTGGATGAGTCTGGCCCCTGAGTTCAGGATAGACTGAAGCGGGGATAGCCTGTGATGAGGTAGGCCGGTGAGGAGGGAGTTGCAGTAGTCCAGGTGTGAGATAATAAGGGAGTGAACGAGTTGTTTAATGGTGTCTGGGGTTAGGAGACGGAC